AGGTTAGTCCATACAAACTTAGAAAACTATTCCAATGAGTCCACACATGTTTTTATGTTAAAGACTATGACAATGCTTCTCTTGCATCAACACAATACTTCAATGAACAAATGTTGTGGGTGACAACGATAAAAGAATGACTTATGTAGGAAATGGAGTGAGGTAAGGAAGTAAAATAAGGCATAGTTGAAATAATTTGAGAATAAACAAAGGGTTTAAATGGTATGGAGAGGGAAACAGATTTGATGCTTGCCCTCTTCATGAAACAAAATGACATTTGAGTGGTGTTGATGACGTTAACGTCTTGTCGCAATGATAGAGACATGACCATGAGCAAGGGCAAGGATCCACTTGAAGGACTTGGATGACCTATGACAAGGGCTAGAGAAAGGGAAGTAAAGGAAGCTCTTTAACAAGTGTTATCCATATTATTTGAATACAAGACCACATTTCAAAGAGAAAAGACCAAAGTTGTAAATTGCATCATGACCTAAATGGAGGAAGACTAATGCGTCACTTTGTTTCAGATTTTACGTTTGTTTAAATAATGACCCAATCCTCTGTAAAATTGGTTGACCAAATTTTGTTTTGGGTTAATCAATTAATGGAATTTAGTTTGGTTTTGTTTCAAGTTGTAATAAGATACCAATTGGAAATTTAGGTATCAGCCTTTGGGAGACCAAGAGGGTGCATAGCATATTAACTTTTGGTTGCCACAATTTCAGTTACAATCAGCTATTAAGTAGTTTTCAATTCCTAGGTTAATGGATCATTATTAGTATTTATTTGCATCCATTAAGAATTTTTCAATTCCTAGATTAATGGATCATTATTATGATTTATTTTCCTTTATTGAATCTTTGTAGTTCTGATGGCAAAGCTTCTATATCAGCATAACCATTTTCATCAAAAATAGCAAGTTGGGTTTTATTCAGAAATATTAGAGTTTAACTCTTTTATCTTGTTGAAAGTTATTCTCCCAAGTTCTTGAGTGATTCAAGAACCCTTGGTTGTATCAAAGGACTTTCACATCCTTTGTGAGTTGCCTCCCTTGGGAAGAGTGATTCTTTCTTTCAACCTTTCATATTCACCTCTTGTCCTTTCTTCACTAGAACTCAAAAATCTCAATTCTGCCAAGATTTATTTCGTGGTCTTAACTTTCTTTCTACTCGTCTAAATTGAGTGTTTTTGAGCCTAAATTGAAATTCAGAACGAGAATTTTAATCTTGTTTTTAAATCACCTCAATCAAAATTTTATAGCTTGAGATATTGACGTTTCAAAAATACTGCCCAACCCTGAAACTTTCACTACTTTCTACTCACTCTTCTCACTAATTTCTTAAATTTCCAACAAGGTTCTAACCCTAAAGATCTTAAGTCAGCCCTTGTGTAAAGGAGGTTCATATCACACGATAACCTTACTCTTTATTTAATAAACACATGTTAAGGACAACCTTCGGCTACTACGACACTCCAAGTGCATGTCCAGTGGCAGATCTTCATAGTAGTTAAGGGGGGCCATGGCCCCCCAAAGCTTTATAACTTACTTGTATATTTATGATTTTGGGCCCCCCCCCCCAATATTAAATATATCATAAAGAAAAAAACTGAAGGAATAAATTGTTTAACATATAAAGACATGAAACTTGAAGATTTTGATGATGATTCAAGAATAGATGACTTAAAGACTTGAAGACTTATAATCATCTGTATTTACTTGTAATAAATTTGTTTTGTCTTTTTGAGTATGTAAAATTAGAGTCCAAGATAGCCAACACATAATCCATCCTCTAAAAGTTCATTTTTATCAAAACAACTCTGTAATAATCGATTATCACTCAGAATAATCGATTATCATGATTTGAAACCTGTTTTCTGAAAACCTTGTTGGAATAATCGATTATCCCAGTTTGAAAGTTCTAGAATAATCGATTATCAAGCAAGATAATCGATTATCCTGGTCCAAAACTTCTTCTCTACGAAAATGGTTCTGGAATAATCGATTATCACTCAAGATAATCGATTATCTACGTCTGTTATGAGTTTTGAATTTCAAATTTGGACCAATTTACGAAAATCCTTTTTCCAATACTTCAAGTTTCGAAAATCACTATTTCCCAGACTTTATTCTCTCTACTTAAGGTTCTCTAAGGCTCTCTGCAAAATAATAATCATTTTTCATACAAAAGTTAAGAGCTGTAATTGCTAGATGACTTTCTGTAGGGAAGAAAAATGGGTTTTTGAAAACCTAGTGTGGGCTAGAAGCGATAAGAATGACTGAGTGAGTTTCTTAGTGGATTGTGTGTTGTGCCGTCTCTAGGAAAAACTGTTGTTGATCCTTTGTGGATTCAAAGGAGTTGTTCATCTCTTGTGTGACTCAAGAGAGGTGTTTTCTAATCCTTATCTTTTTCAATTTGTATTCTGTTGTAACTTGTGATTATATTGACAGTGTTAATAATCTTTTATAGTGATTAACAACTGAACGTAAGGTATTTTGATCCGAAGCAGTATAAATCAACTGTGTAATCTTATTTCTCTTATCTCTTTACATTACAAGCATTTTAATCAGTAAATTTTTGGGAAAAATTTTAAAACCCTAATTTTTTATAAGAAACAAATTCACCACCCCTCTTGGTTTTTGTCCCTAAACGCGAACATTCCGCTATACGATTCTAACATAAATTAAATAAGAAAGATTACAAATAATTTTATTATCTGACCTTTCCATCTTCTCTCACTTTTTCATACTCTCTCATTAACGGTAATATTTTATTAGTATTTAATTGCTTCTCTAATTTCTAAGGACTATATTAAATAAGAAAGATTAAAAGTAGTTCTTCATCTTTTCTCACCTTTTTATATTCTCTCACTAACGGTAATATTGATTGATTAGTATTAAATTATTTCTATAGTTGGTACTTTCAAATTAATTATTTGTCTCTCTTCCTCCCTCCTCATATTCCATCCTTAAAATTATATTGATTGACAAATCTACTTTTTCTTCATCTTTTCATACTTGCTTATTCTATTATTGTTTGTTATCCTTTAGATTTTAGTGAATAAGAAAAGATTAATTTAAAATTTTAACTTCATCATTTTATACTTGATGCTCTTAACCATCAAGATTCAAAAATAGGGAAGTCAAGTACATTTTACTTAATAGATCGTTTAATTCGTCTTATTTTAACTCTTTCTGTTTCTACAACTATAACTGAAAAATCGTTTTACTGCAATGAAAATTATCAAAACAAGACTGCAAAATAGAATAGAAGATAAAATTCTTGTAGATAATATGATCATTTATATTGAAAAATAAATAACTTAAAACTTTAGTTCTGATTAAAAAGAACGAAGGATACAATTTTAAATAAATATCTTATTTTTTATTTATTATTATATAATTTTTTTTATAATTGACCACCAGACTCGACCGGTCAAGATCCACTAGTGTGCATGTTCTTCTCACATTTTGATTATTCAGTCATTTCATGATAATTAGGTAGAAACATGAATAATTTGATATTAATTTAGTCTCATCATCTAATGAGATTAGAGACTCAAGGTTATGTATTATTATACATCAAATCACGACTTTATGTCGATCTCTACTCAAGTCACGACTTTATGTCGATCTCTACTCAAACCACGATTTTATACAAATCTATATTCAAAATCGTACACAAAATCTATAGTGACACGTTGAATTATTTAAGAATGTGATTCAGAAAGAAAAAAAAATCATGTCCTAATTTCTCCTAACTCTTTTATTTACCCCATAATATCATGGTTAGAAAAAGAAAAAGAAAAAGAAAACCTAACACTAAAATAGATAGAGACGAACAAGGAGACCAGGAAAACTTGTTGACTAAGTTTTGGTATAGGGTAATCTATTCCACTCTTTTGCTAGAAAAAAATAAAATAAAAACAAATAATGTATCTCCATGGAGATATGGGCTAAACTTGCTCTTATCCTCTTCAATGGGTAACAGTGGCATCATATACATGTCCATGCCGATATTTCTTTGTCAAATTTATACGCACTGTCGCAACAGTTATAAGAAAAACTAAAATGTTTTAGGTTAAATATTGCATTTTCATTAACTTATTTTATTTTAGTGTTAATTTGATCTTTTTAAAAATTGATTATTATAATCTTTATAAATGTCAAATTCAGTTAAGTTGTCAAATAAAAAAAATGTAAAATTGTTAATAATGTTAATATAATCATACTTATTTTCATATTATTATTATTATATTAACATCACATATTGATACCACCGTAATGTTGTAATTATATTTTTTTAGACGTTGTAGTGGTATGTTGTTTTTGTGAAATGTTTTAATAATATATCATTATTTAATAACTAATATATATATATATTATGTTCATATTTTTAGTTGTTCATGAGTTATATGAATTATTAATTAATCACTTTATATATATATATATATATATATATATATATATATATTTTGTATCAAACAATATTATATTATATTTTTAACTTGTTAAAGACGTGGAAAGGAGGAATTATGATTAAAATAAAAAATAAAATTAACATTAAAAATAATAATAAGACAAAATCAGAAAAATATAATAAAAAATCATTTAAGCTATTTTTTTATTTTAATTATAAAAAAATATAGATGAGTAATAATAAAAAAAGTGGTATAAAAGAAAAGTGTGTATGATATTTCTACAAATAATTGATAATTAGATATACAATATATATTGTAACATTTTTATTAATATTATATTAGTAAAAAAGCTTCAATCGGTATTTCCTGCATTAATTGATAATATATATATTTGGCAGAAATAGACAGTGCAGGAAATCCACACCCAAATAATAGAATTGATGGCAAATAAATCTCCCGCCATATGACTCACATTGTCAATATGATCGATAAGATTAAAATATGACTCACATTTCTTCCAAACGATAAATGTGTTCATATACTAGTATTTGTCGGGGGAAGGTTCAGTGTACCAACGTGGGCTACCTTGTCCTCTTCTTGGCCACTAGGTAAAGGTCAGTTTTCTTGTGCATCGTGATTCCTGGTTTCACTTCCGTATTCAACATTTCCTCCCTGTCACTCCCTGGGCCCATTTCCCAGTCAAAGGAGTGGAGCAGATTCGCAAGAGAGAGTTCAACATTCACCATTCCCATATGCTTGGCGGGACACATTCTCCTTCCACACCCAAACGGCATCACCTCAAACTCCTTCCCCTTCAACTCCATCTCACTCCCAAGAAACCTTTCGGGACAAAACTCTTCTGCCTTTTCCCAGTTCTCTGGGTCCCTTGCTATAGCCCACGCGTTCACGTACACCACAGTTCTCGGTTGAATTTCGTACCCGTCTATGGTGCAACGCTCCATCGCTTCCCTTGGCATCAGAAGTGGCGAAGGTGGGAACAGTCTCAATGTCTCCTTCACCACTGCTTTCAGATAAGGAAGCCTTTCAATGTCCTCTTCGTTTATAAAATCTTTCTCCCCGAATAAGCTTCTCACTTCTCCTTCAACCTTGCTCATTACTTCCGGATTCTTTAGCAGTGCTGTCATTGCCCAGACTATTGTCGCCGAAGTAGGGTCTGTTCCCGCTATAAAGATGTTCTGCACGTATACGTAATGACTTGATAGATTGAACGACAACCATTAATTATTTCAATGAAGTATGATATGATCTTAAATGATACACAACAATTTACGCAGAGAAAGAGAAGAATGCTCGAATTAGTAAGTTACCATGAGCACGGCTTTTATGTGTTCCAGAGTGAGATGAAACGAGAACGAAGGATTATCAAGAAGATGAAGAAAGATATCAATGATATCTTGTACTTCATCCTCGTCATCACTATTTTTACCCTTCGCTGAATCCATGTGATCATGGATGACTCGTTCATAGAACGCATCCAATTCCTTGAACGTTTTCTCAAGCCGCCGTGCTTTTCCCGTGAGTCTATCAACCCACCCCAGCAACGGAAAATAATCCGAAAAGAAAAACTCCGTCAGCAACGATTGCGCCTCGTTCAACAGAACCTGCAACCGGCTCCTCTGTTTTCCCTTCTCAACAACTTCCTCGTACTCACCAGCGTACATTTTACCGAACGCGATTCTGCATATCAGAGAGCTCGTGAAAGACATCAGCGTTTCGGTTAGGTTCACGACAGTGCCCGAAGCTTCGCGTTCCGACAGCTTCCGTAGCATTTGCGCAACCTCGTTTTCTCGAACGGCGCGAAAGGAGTGAACGCGCTGCGCGCTGAAGAGGTGGACGATGCAGAGTTTCTTCAATTCACGCCAGCATGGGCCGTAGGGAGCGAAGCCCAAGTCGAGCCCGTTGTAAGAAAGCTTTCTTGGGCCCACGAAGGAGGGCCTGGTTGCGAAGTTGAGGTCATGGGTTTTGAGGATTTCTTTGGCGACTCGGGCCGAAGAAACGACGACGGTTTGTACGGTAGCGAGGCGCAGCGACATGAGAGGACCGTATCGTTTGGCGAGTTGCCATAGGGAGCGATGTGGGGATGAGTAATGGAGGAGGTGAAGGTTGCCGATGAGAGGAAGAGGTGGGGGACCAGGTGGTTTTGCAAGTTTTCTTTTGCTTGAGTGGATAACGAAGAAGAAGAAGACAAATAAAAGAGAAAGAACAACAAGGATAACCATCATTATGCAAGTTTACATTATGCAAGTTTACCTTCAAACAATTTATAACACTTACTAGAACAGGTGCAGGTCAATTTAGGTTTTTTCTCCCAAATGGTGCAAATTTTATAAAATTTACCAATATCGATAAATTTTAAAAAAATTATTACTCGTAATAAAATTTTGTATAATTATTTTTTTAGATTATTAGGTTTATAATAATTATTATTAAATTATTATAATTAATAATAATATTTTATATTATTATTTAAACTATAATTATTATATTATTAATATTATTATTATATTATTAATTATATTAATAACATAAATATTCTCAATGATACGTATTAAAATATATTTAATTTTTAATATTTTTTATAAAAGTTAAATTAGGAAATTATATTCATTTTACAATAAAATTTTACAATAAAACTAAAAATGCATGTAAAAAATATTTGGAATCAAATTCTTTTATACTTAAGTTTTTCACTCCGAAAAAAGAGAAAAACTAAGAAAAGAATAAGAGAAAAATTATGAAAAGAATATACGAAGACTAAAAATGAAAATAATAAATGAAAACTAAAACCAAGAAAAAAAAAAGCAAACTTTTCAATAGATTCTATAGAAGAATATTGTGAGCAAACGAGATTATTCATCTAAGTGGTAAAGAAACAAGACAATAAAAAATCTATTTCAAAACATGAAAGTGAAAAAAAAAATTACAATAAAACTAAATCATGAATAAAAAAATAATAAAATCCTCCAAATATGTATTTATCACTCTATATCAAGTGTTTATGTTTGTGTTTACACTCAAAACACGTAATAAAAGTAAAAATTATCGTACACTTGACAAACTTCTTTTTTACTCTATTTAAAATACATGCAATTAAAGCAATTAAAGATCAAAATAATTTTTCAAAAGTTTGTAATGTGACTAAGGTAGAATTAGAATAAAAGAAAGGATACAATGCTATAAATCAAAGAGAGAAGCGGATCAATGGAGAAAGAATAAACAATAAATGGAAAATTACCTATCATGAAACTAAAATAGAATATTTACAACATATTTCTTTTTTTTTTTCTTGTTCATCTTTTATATTTTATATTTTTTTCTTCTTCCTTCTTTTTTCTTTGATTTTTTTATCGTGGTAAATTTGAGATTTTTAGTGATTACAAGAATCTTAAATATTTATTTGATCATAAGGAATTAAATATGAGATAAATGATATTGATGATTTTTTGAAAGATAATGATTTTGAAAATGAGATAACATAGTGATAGATTTTGTAGTTGGCTTATCATAAACAATTAAAAAAAATAATTTTATGAATTATCATGGATATATTAACAAAGACGATTCACTTCTTATCTATTAATGGAAATTCTCCTACTAGAACGACTAAATAATCTATCTACGGTAAGAAATACACTAAAAACCTAATGCACATTGTTTTACCCCATAACTATATCTCATGCTACAAATTTCATAATCAAGTGATATCCAAGCAAAAGAAATAATGATGCTCTTAATTTTGATTTAGACATATTAATAGAAAAAAAAAACTAGTATTTTGGGTGATATGAGTGAGACTTAATTTGAAAAAAAATAAGAACTAAACCATAAAATAACCTAATTTCGAAAATTGGAGTAAAAAGATTATAAAACTTATGGAGATAAAAGGATGCCAACTATGACGCCACAACCATGAATGTTTGAAAAACCAGGTTGATCAAAATAGAAATTAGAATAATTCTTGATAAGATAGTAGAAGGTTTTTTCTCACACTCCAAACAACTTTAAATAACATTTTGTCATCCATTTATTTCTAAAATTTTAAATACAATCAATTTTTATGCCTCTGAATGCAAATAAAAGAAAATTAAAATCTCAATAATATAAACATGTATAATAAGCTTAAGGTTAATGATTCACATTTGGCCTAGGTAACTTTATAATTTTTTAAACATGTTTTTAATAAACAAATCATCATAACCAAAAGAATAGAATCATAATTTGATTTATTATTCTCATTCAAAATTAGCAACATAGTTCTTTAAACTTAAAGGATTAAAGTTCATTTTAGCTTACTATTTATTAAGTACCTATCAGGGTTTATTAGTCTTTATTAGATTCTCACAAAAATAAGATTTGTTGCTTATCAAATTATGCTATCTCATTTTCTTTCTACTCTTACTAATGTCTTTTATGTATCTCAAGTAAGAAAAAATATTTTTGATTATTCTCGTGTAATGATTTCTAGTAGAGTACAATTAAAGAATAATCTTATATTTAAAACAATGTTGAAAATTGGAAGAAAAAAATAAAAGAAATTTATCCTCAATTATTTTAGTCAATAAAATTTGTTTAGGACAGTAAAAAATATAGTACTTAAAAATTTATAATGTAATATTTTTTTTCAAATATAATATATTAAATTATAACAATTTTAGTAATTTAAATATTTTTATTTTATGTGTGTATGCGTGTCTCTAATCCCATATATACTTTTTATGACTATAATTATACCTCACTTTCCTGAATATTATTTGGCATATATAATTGCACTAGTTAAAATTTAAACTACTAAAACTTATATTTTTAAAGTATGCATACTATAATGCATTATAAATTATATATATTTACATAAATAAAATAAATCCTAATATATATATATATATATAACAATTAAAAATTTATAAATTAATATATATTTTTTTAAATACAATATATCAAAGTAATTATGGATAATCTAAATATTTTTGTTTTATGTGCATGTGTAGATGTCTCTCATCCCATCCTATTAAGTTGTTATATACTTTTCATGTTATAATTATACATAACTTTAACAGATACAATTGTACTAGTTAAAATTTAAATTACTAAAATTTAAAATTTTAAAGTATACATATTATAATGCATTATAAATTATATATATTTACATAAATAAAATAAATACTAATTAATATATATATATATATATATATATATAATAATAATAATCTTATGAATAATCAATTTTAAGTTGTGAATTAAGTAAAGAAGAATTAATAATATACCTACTCAAGTTTAAATTAATTTTTAGTTGGAGATTGGATCTTGGAAAATTTAAATGAAAAGAAAAGAAAAAATAAAATAATTATGTATGTTTTACTGATATGACGAGTCTCATTTATCTCGATTTCATTGAAAAAAAATAATAATTTACACTTGTATTCTATTCTTGAGATAAAAAATTTTTATATGTATACTATTTTGTTTAATTTATCTTTAAGAAATTTATTCTCATTTCTTCTGTATTTTTTATTTCTTTTCTCTTTGAAATTATATATATATATATATATATATATATATATATATATATATATATATATATATATATATATATATATATATATATATATATATATATATATATATATATATATATATAACGTTTCAACTACACTATTCAATCATGTTAACCCATTCATAAAATGTATAATAAAGTTATAATCCTACAAGTAAAATATGTTTACATGTATATAAATATAAGTAAATGTGTACCAATATATAATTATAGATATGACACTTTGTAAAATAAATAAATATATATAGAGATACGTGTACATTGATATAAAATATTAAATAAGTAATTAAAGTAATATATTTTATTTTAGAAAGACTATAATTTATAAGATAAATCAATAAAAATAAAAAATGTATATGCTCATAATTTATAAAAATAATAATAAAATTAGTAAGTACAAAATGATATAAATAAAAATTGATTTCAAATAGGCAAACAAACATGAAAAAGAAAAGAAAAGAAAAATATCAGCGCAATCTATCACTTTATACCATGTATGAACTTGAAGAAGTCAAAACTAAGGTTGAAGAAGTTAAATATAAAGAATATGTGAGAGGAAGTTTTAAGATGAAAGAGAGAAATGAAAGAGAAAATTGGAAAAAATAGAACTTATTTTATAATTTTATTCATATATCTTTTGGATACATATATCATGTTCTTATAGTATTTTACTTCTATAAATCAGACTAAATAAAGTAAATTCTGATTATGCATTATTTTGTATAACTATACAAACCTATAATTTAGCTAATCAAATATCTTCATTTCAACACTCCCCATCAAGTTGGTAAATGGATGTCATACATTCCCAACTTGTTCAATAATCTCCTAAAAATTTGACTTATCACAACTTTGGTAAGAATGTCTGTCAGTTGATCTTCAGATCGAATATTTGACAATTCTAGAATATTTTTATCAAGTTTTTCCTTGATGAAAAATCTATCAACCTCCACATGCTTCATCCGATCATGTTGGACAGGGTTGTGAGCAATGTTGCACACAAATTTATTATCACAATACAACTGAATGAGATGCGTATGTGCATACCTTAAATCCTGGAGAAGTAGTCTGAGCCATAGACCTTCACAAAGTCCAAGAACCATTCCTCTAAATTCAGCTTCTGCACTAAATCTAGCTACAACTTTCTACTTCTTACTTTTCCATGTGACAAGATTACCTCCTACAAATGTAAAGTATCCAGAGGTTGATCTTCTATAATTAAGATCACCTGCTCATCTGCATCAGTATAAACCATCACATACTTGTAATTGGAGTTCTTCTTGAACATAACTCCTTTTCCAGGAGCGACTTTTATGTACCTTAAAATTTGTATAATAGCATCCATGTGTTTTTCACCTAGATTGTGCATGAATTGGCCAACCACACTAAGAGCATAGGTTAAATCTGGCCTGGTGTGTGAGAAATACGTTAATCTCCCTACAAGTCTATGATATCTTCCTTTATTAGTTGGAGTTTGATCTTCTTCAATGCATAACTTCAATCCCCCTTCAATTGGAGAATTTGCTAGTTTGCATGCTGTCATTCCAGTTTCTTTCAGTAAATTCAATGCATACTTCCGCTGTGAGAGAAAAATACATGACTTTGATCTTGAGACCTCAATTCCAAGAAAGTACTTCAAAGGACCAAGATCCTTCATCTCGAATTCCTTTG